TCTTTCTTTCTCTCTCTCTCTCTCTCTCTCTCTCTCTCTCTCTCTCTCTCTCTTTCTTTCTTTCTTTCTTTCTTTCTTGAATGGAAATCTTTCTAAGACACTAGTCCAGCTTTGTGCCTAAGTAAGTAGGACACAAGGAGAATAATAGAATTTTTATTTGAGGACTGAGAATTTTTCAATGCTTGAGAGTTGTTATTTAGAACATTTACTCCACTTAAACAAAACATTTATTGATTGCTTATAGCATACCACCATTGTATTAGCTGCTAAAAGGGTTACAAAGGAAGTAAAAGTTATGGTCACTAGCCTTTTTTTTTTAACAGTCTTATTTAGGAGATAAGATATAATCATAAGAATCATAAGAATCACTATGCAAATGAAATAATAAAATAACAATGAATAGATGCCTATTTAATTCAACACACATTTATTTATTATTAAGAAATAAATAATACAGTTAATATTTGTTTATTTGATTTGTCAAAATTTAAGATTCATACAATAAGTGCTATAGATAATCAGGGAATTAAGTGAAGAGTTTGCTTTCTTGTTATTTCCTGTCTTATAAAAGTGGAATTACTGCCCTCTTGGCCAACATGAATTAGCTTACAATTAGCCTCTGCTTATCATACACACACACAACACACACACACACACACACACACACACATATGCATATAAACATATATACATGCATATATGATACATGCACATATATACATGTGCATTTGTAAATATATATGTATGCACTCCACCTTGCATCTGCCTGCTGCTCTGCCTGGTTTCAACTCAAGATGCCCTCCCAGGTCGAGCTCATCACTTTTAGAACTCACCACCCTAAGTCACTAACTTGAGCCTCGATTAATTCCATCTCCTTTAGTTTCCTCTCCCCTTTGTTTGGAGGGCTGGGGGGTAGGGTATCAAACACCTCCCAATGCCTTACTTTATAAAGGGCAGAAACTAGACTCTCAGATCACTCTAGCTTGCATTTGCTACCCTGCCTGGTTTCAACCCATGGAACAAGATGCAGCCCCCTCACCCACAAGTGCCCCTTGGTGACTCATCTCTCCCCATCTCTCCCCCACCCATTTTCTGCCTCCTTTTGTAGGCTGTCTTCTACCTTAAATTGCAAGCTTCTTTAGGCTACGGACTTTGTTTTTATTAATAGTATACCCAGTGCTTAGCACAGTGCCTGCTATATTGTAGGTGCTTAATAAATGTTTATTGGATGTTTGTATATTTATAAAGAGGACAGCTAGTCCAATCCCTTCATTTTATAGATCCAAGCCAGTAAATAATTATTAAATCCTTACTGTGTTCCAGGTGAAGTTGACATCCCTAAGGTCACAAACAGTTTAGTGGACCTTGGACCTGGACTCAGGTCTTCTAATGCCAAGATTAGTGAATTTTCTTTCCCATCATGTTGTCCTGTTCTAGGCCAATGATCATATTTAAAAGGCCAGTTATATAGACTTGGACTTTTATGTAGTCAATGTAATATACAACATCCCCTGGCTTAGACAAATCTTTATTTAATTTTTTTTTAAGCAATGGCCACCACTTATTTTGAAGTTAGCTGTCTTTTAATTTTATTGAATTTTGGTTCTTCACTTTTATGAACTTTCCTAAGTCTCTGGTTCTATCTGTACATTATGTTTTAAAATGATTTTATTTCTTTATTTAAAAAAAATGTAGTGGAGGAGGGGTGGAAGAATTGTTTTTCTCCCAATTTCAGTTGATATAATTATAGAAAGTAAGGAACAGACAACAAAGGGAAGTATTAATGTATTAAATGATCTTGAAGACATTTCTAGGATGTATCTGTGCTCTGTTATCCCATTTCAATGTATAAAAAAGTTTTCTGATGAAATTGGAAAGACAACTTGCCATTGGTTGGCAAAACATTGGCCATGGCCCTGGAAGTCTTTAAAAATCTTAGCTTGCCACTACTGGGACATTGGAAGCAGGAAGCTTTATGGAGTGGGACCTTTGTGTCTCTACCACAGGTTAGTGGGGGGAGGGATTTCTTTCATTTCCCCTTCATCCCTCAAGGTCCATGGCATCTTACAGTGGAACTACGTGCCCAGGGGGAAGAGTTTGAGTGATGCAGAGATCCAGGTATTGAAAGCAACTTGAAGGAGCTTGATCTCTGGCAGTAGAGAAAGGGGCAAATTAGGAATTCAGAGAACTAGATCTGGCAACTTGAGTCAAGATGTGTAAAGGAACAGACATAGGTAGCCCTATAGGTAGCCCTACAACCTGCTTAGTAAAGAGGCTATACCTATGGGTGAGAAGTTTAGAGATGCCACAAGAAGAGAAAAGACATAGGGGCTCTGCAGTGCTAGAGACAGAGGAAGAGCCTTTGGCTACTTGTGCTCCTTACACGTGTACTTCACTACCAGTGTACTCTAAGTTTGTGTCCACTTTTCCCCTTGATTCTATATATTTGTGGGAGAGTGAGTCAGAGATTTAGGGAGAAAATATTTAGTAGCTACCATTCTCATTATGCCATCTTTGTGAATATCTTTGTTTTGCACTAATTTTGTCTATTAGCTGACTATTAAAAGTAAGAATACCTGTGGGGGCTCATTAACTATAGTTTTAGGAGTGTAGACCCACAGAGTACCCTTAGATCCTAGAGTGGTAGTAACTCAACCTATAATCTGTGAGCAACAAGTCAGGGAAGTACACCCAGAGGTGGATTACACACAAAAAAATACCTGTTAAAAATGTAACAATTTTGAAAGGCTAGAAGGTCGAACATTCTAACACATCCATACTTGGTTTGGCGTCTGGATTTTGTTTCGATATCAGCTTACTTTAGAAAAAAGATTTCAGGAAATTTATTTTCTACCTTTGGATTTTTCCTGATGTAAGGTGGAACTATACCTAATGAAGTTAGCATTCAGGTCTTATTTTTGTTTTGCTCTTTGGCCATCAGCTTTGATTTGTCCTGTTTGGTAAATTCAATTCCCAGAATGATTGAATATTCTAACATTGGTTTGGGCTGCTTCTCTGGGGCTTTCTTTGTTCTTTTTGCCATTGGTATTTTAGTTGGGTTCTTATCTTAAGAAACACATGTGTGTTTTTCTTTATGTTTCTGAACAATTTGTGAATGGCTGCAAAAACTGGTTTACAAAACAGCTTTTGCCTCAACTGCAGTGCTCTAAGCCAATAATGGCTTTGTAATAATTTAATGTATTTGAGTGTTTTAAAGAAACCTAATTATATCATGCCAAGTACTCTGGCTGAAAATTATCAGGTCTTAAAAAGAAGCTATGATTTGGTATATTTGTGGCAAATATTCTATTCAATTTTAAAATATATCTATAGGAATGCATTCTTTTTTTCAGGCTGCATATTTTTCTATTCAGCTAAAACACAAGTGGTATGAATTGTGACTGGCTTATTTCCTTGCCTAGAATCAATGTTGCTCAAGGTTCTAAGTCACCTACTCTTGGAATTTTACCTTATCTCGTGCTACTTTAGCATCACTATTTCTATAATGGCTTGAATGTTGTCTAAGGGGAAAAAAATAATATTGAGTAGATTAACATCCTTGGGGTGGTAAGGTGGGTCTTTTAAAAATAAATATGTTGTGGTCAAGTGACAGATTTAGCAAATTCTCTTTATTTACATATAAATGTGTACACATACTCTATATGTACACAGGAAATTCTAAGTGTATATATATATATATACACATATGTTTCCACATACTATACAATATGTATGCGTTTTTAAATTGCTTATAGAGGAAGGTAAAAAGACATGTCAATTAAATCATCACTTACAACAATATTACAAAGCGCCTGACAAACTCAGAATAGAGCAACACATTCTAGTTTGTACTACCATATACCACGAAGTCCAATACAATTTATACAACACAACACTGTGTACAGAGCAGCAGCAAAAGGTAAGAAATGGAAAATTAAGTTTTATGACAATAACAATCGGGTTTTATGGCTAGTGAGGTAAGATCATTTTGTTAGGATACCTCTTTCTACTCCACTTCTCTTCTTCTTCCAACCCCATTGGAAAGAAAAAGGAAGGAAGGAAGGAGCACAAGAAATAAAGAGAGAGAAAGGAAGGAAAGAGCAAGAAAAAGATGAAAGAAAGAGATGGAGGAAGGATGGAAAGAAAGAAAGGAAGAAGGAAGTAAGGAAGGAAAAAAGGAAGGAAAGAAGGGACCAGCAAACAAATAGCCTTATGAATCCTGGCTTTTGGATGAAATCTATTTTCAACAGAATACCTTAGTCTGAAATTTTACAGAGCAGTAGGGGAAATGGGTGATCTATAATCTAGAAAGCAACTCATTTAAGGGACCTGTAAGCAACAGAGATTTTCTTTTTTATCAACCAGCCCATCCTCCTTAATTGAGTCAGTGATGGTCCCATTTTGTACCTTAAGAATTAACTTTATCATCTTAGAAAAATGTCAAGGTGACAGACACTGGATTATAAGTACCACACCCATTTGTAAGTAGACTAGAAAGTCTGGTTCATAACCAGGCATTTTGGATGTTAGTATAGCAACATTTTAACACTAACCTTTTATTTCCATAAAGCCCTCCCCTTCAGTCCAAAAATAAATACAACCCAGGGATAAATTTAGAAGCCAAGAAATATTAGGACTCCAGAGTTCTTGATTTTCTCCCTATCACTTTTAATTGCTTCCTTCATTTCAAAGGTGGTGAGTGTGTGTGTGTGTGTGTGTGTGTGTGTGTGTGTGTGTGTGTGTGTGTGTAAAATCCTGTGAGCAAATTAACAGAATGAAGTTATTTGCTATGGATGGATGGTACTCAAACATTTACTTTAAGTTTTGATGAACTCAGTAGGGTAATAATGATTTTAAAAAATGATTTTTTTTATCATTAAGATAGATTACATGGTATCTAATATCACTATAAAACACAAATAGAATCATAGATAGAGATAGAAGGGATCTAAGAGGTCATCTAGTTCAACCCCTTCATTTTATAGATGAGGAAACCGAGGTCCAAAAAATGAAGTGACTTGCCCAACGTCACACAGGTAGTTAATGGCAGAGCCAAGATTTGAACCCAGGTCCTCTATCTCTAAACACAATGCTTTTCCCACTTCCATCACACTTATTATTCAGATGGAAAAGATTGTAAGCATTAGGGTCAAAATAATAAACCAAACCATGTTAATTCACTATAGCACATCTACTTCTATTAATGTGTATTAGTTCCACTGTGGCACAGTTTCTTCCTTTAACGGTGAGTTTTCAAACAAGTTTTTCTCTATGATTTCCCATAAAAGTGATTACATGGGAATGAAAATAAGAAAATTATGAAAAAAAAGTCAATGTTAGAAATGCAACTCTTCTGTCCAACGCAGAGTTTTCAGCTGCTTCACTGTATCTGCTATTTTTTACAAGCAGAATTCTAATACACATCTGAAAGGCAGACTCATTTTCAAGAACAGTGCTTCTCACATGCAAAATTGTGTCCTTTCTTGTCTCATGTTGCTACCATCTGATACCTTCCTTACAAAAAAAAACCAACAATATTTCCAGATTATCATCTTAAATGAAAGTGATAGTACATAAACAGTTTGACTCTGTAGGTTACTTATGACACAGCACAAACACGGCCACGGACTTGAAGACTTTTTTTTTTTTAATCATTTTAAAACCTGGTAAGGAAGCAAGGTCCACTGTCCCAAACAAAAGGAATCTTTATGGTGAGGAGCTGAAATCCATTCTCAGTTATTCCAGTCACAAATGTCCCCCAGTCCTGCCATCTCATAAAGATTCAGCCAGAAGATAAATATGGAGTCTCACTATGGTAATTGTAGTCAGGACAAACCTTTTGCACAAGTTTGTAATCGACACTGTAAAAGGCAATGTAAATGCAAATAACCTTAAAGGGTTTGGAGCACAACCAAGAGACATGACTCTGAGTCTGTTCCTGGTAGCAGATCTTCGAAGGGTCAAAGTTGCACAATGCAGTCTTCTTCGCCCGGTCTGTTTTTTCATATTCAATGCGGCAGTTGAAAGATTTGGACTCCTTGGTCTCTAAAGTGGACTGAGGGGAGACTTCAAATTCTACCACTTTGGATGGTGGTACCAGACTCACTGAGACATTACCCAGACCCGTGGAGTTGTGTCGGAAATAAACACTAAAGGTTCCATTGCCATGGTCGACAATTTTTCCCGTGATGAGAAGGTTGAGTTTCACAGTCTTAATGTTGGAATGGAAGTCACCCCATCCAAACATTTTCTTAAATTTCCCTGTTTTTACTATTGGCCTACGCTTAGTTCTTGCCAATGGCTCCTGCACTTCCGTGATGTTGGACAACCAATCCCAAAAGTTTTCTATGCTGTCTGCATATGACATCTGACCGGGCTTTGACACTGGAGACTGTTTAACAAACAGGCGTAAAGGATTGATGATCCTGGAGTGGACCTCGTTATCGACCAGTGTGTCTGCAGCATCTTTGTCTTCCCAATCCAGCCCCTCTGAGGCATGTGCTATTTTTTTGCTGTCACAAAATAGCTGTTTGAAGAGAAAAAAAAAGAGAGAGGAATATCAGGTTGGTCTTTGAGTTCATGACTGCTGAAGTTAAAATACCTGAAGCATAAAAGGGAAATGGTGTCACTTCTACTTAAAGGGCTGCTAAACAGAATTTCACACACACAGCTGGACTTCACCAATGTACCAAGATACGCATTATTTCAAGCCCTATAGAACTGTGAGTGCATAGACATTAGAATGATGACTTGCAACATTAAAAAAAAACACACAGAAATTCATTTTTAACAAGTTGACACATTTTTAGCCCCTATTTCCCTAAACATTCCAACTTTGATCTTTTCTCAGACCAGAAGTGGGGCATCTTTGAGATTTCATTTGTTATAAGTGGTTGTTTAACCTATGGTTAAAGTGTACGGCTGAAGTATAAGTGGTTATTTCATTTATGAAATTACATCATCAAATTGGTTGAGGTCTTTTCTCTCAAGAAGAAGAAAAGGCCTCCTGGAAGTCTTGTGATTTATGAAGATCATCTAATTTGGATCTTTTGAAAACATTTTTTTTTTCTGAAAAAAAGTTTTGTTTTTCTTTTAAGTCTGGGTTTCATCATTGTGAGGAGATCATAGGATCACAGACTTACTTAGAGCTTAAAGGTATCTTAGAGGCCTCTGGTCCAATCCCCTCATTTTACAGATGAGGAAAACTGAGGTCCAAAGGGGCTAAATGACTTGACTGACATCATATAAGTTGTAAGCATCAGAGACAGGATTTGAATCCATGCTCTCTAATTCCAAATTTAGGACTATTCCCCTGTACCAAACAGCCTTTCCAGTATGGAAGTGTAGGGTAGAAACTCTTTCTACTTATGTATACACACAATTAGATGTAATTTGTAATCTAAAAAGTTATCTTTGGTACTGAAAGAACAAGGGATTAGTCCAGGGTCACACAGGTAATATGTGTCTGAATCAGAACTTGAACTCGGGTCTTCTTGGCTCCATGGTTGGCCCTCAAACCATTCTACGATACTGACTCTTGGCTGCTTGTTTAGAGGGCTAGTTTTGTTTAAAGACTTATGCTGTGCATTTTCACACCACTTGGAAAGATTTCACATCAGGTGCTGTGTACTACATGCTTTACTTTTTAATCTCTGGGATTTGAAGGCACATCTAGGATAGTTGACTATGCAGAGGAATGAATATTATGCAAATTGAGTCATATTAATTCTTTTTTTTGTTTTCATTTTTCATTCGGTACTTAACAAACACCAAATAAACTAGGCATTTCCATATACATAGTAGAACAAAAAAAAAAGAAAATTATTATGACACTTCAGATCTCTAGTATAAGTGTAGCTTGCTTTTCTTTTTAAATATAATAAACTCAACCTGTTAAGTATAATAAATTCAACCAGTTGAATAATAAATTAAGTTTCAAACGTGCTGTTTTTCAGTCTTCCTTTTTGTCCTTCCTCTGTTCTGTTCTTTATATTTTAAAAAAATAGTCTCAATCACCTTCTCTCTCTTTCCTTCCTTCCTTCCTTCCTTCCTTCCTTCCTTCCTTCCTTCCTTCCTTCCTTCCTTCCTTCCTTCCTTCCTTCCTTCCTTTCTTCTTTCCTTCCTTCCCCTTACCTCTCTCCTTACACTGGGGAAAAAAAGAAAAAAAACATAGCAATGCTTTATTTCTAAAGAACAGTGACATTCATTGCACTTTTTTAAAAACCAATTCCAAAATGCTGTTTCACATAATAAACATAGAAACACAGTTTTTTTCCCTTAGAATTCATACTGCAAAACAGGAAGTGGAATAATTTGGTTGTTCTCTTATGTACTTTTAGTGAATTTGTAAATCACTTCTAAAATTAAATTTGAGAAATAATTAAAGAATCTCAAGGGGTTACACTATCATATACCTAAGTTGCCTGGTTTGAATATTTCTGGTTGAGTTATAAAGTTTGGAAAATAGATGTTTGTTTCTAATACTGATAGATATTTATATCTAATGGTACAATCCTCTCTGTTGTAATGATTCTATGGAAAACTGTCAGTATGATGGAAAGGATGTGGTGCATGGGTAAGGGAAGAAGTAACATTATATTTGTATATTATTTCTGAAACTCTCAACCTTGGGGAAGCACCATGAAAGACCTTTTAATAGCTGAATACACAGAGGTAATTGCTTTGAATTCAGTTTTACAAAGAACACATGCATTTGAACTTCTGTATAATCCATTTCATAAAAGGTCAGAATTTGGCATAAAGCCTGGCAGCTATGTGGCACAATAGATAGAGCTCCAGGCATGAAGTCAGGAAGACTCATTTTTTTGAATTCAAATGTGGCCTCCAACACTTACTAGCTGACCCTGGGAAAGTCATTTAACTCTGTTTGCCTCAGTTTCCTCATCTGTAAAATGAACTGGAGAAGGAAATGGCAAATTACTCCAATATCTTTACCAAGAAGACCCCAAATGGGATTATGAAGTGTCGGACATGACTGAAAACAAATGAACAAACTGAAAGGGACCATCTTTAACACATCCAAAGAGATTTAGTTATGAAAGTACTTTAACTGCATTATTGTAAGGTGGTAATGATGGGGATGGGATCTGAACCCCTAAAAGGAAAAGACCATGTCTTTGGGATCTGGACCCCAAAAAGGAAAAGCCCCTGAACTTTCCCACGTGGCCCAGTCCCTGACGTTTACCTGTGGCATGGGCTCATCCCAGAATAATCCTTTTAACTGTCTTTTCATTGTGGCTCTGACCTTCAGTTCTCTGTTACCTCTAACTTAGCCCAGCCCTTCATTGTGTTACCTCTGGACCACCCCAGGCTATTTCCTACCCTTAGTCCAGTCTAGACCCCTTCTCTGTTACTTCCCAGTTGTCCCAAGCTATTGGCCACTCCTTGAGCACATCCAGATCTTCCCACAGTCTTTCTGCATATAAGTATCCATCTTGCCCCCATGAAATTGCTCAGAATCTTAACATCTGGCCCAGTTGACAATACAAGCATCACAAATGCACAAGTTCTTAAAATCCCACCTGCTTCTACTGGCAAAACAATAAACCTTGTCTCTGACTGAAAGAAGGCTTGAGTCAAATTCCTTTGAGTACGACCTGAACCTTTTGCCCTTGAATTTCAGGGTTCCCAGTACCCCTAGACCACAACAATTTCAACTAAAGGGTGGTCCCAAACCAAACTTTAGAATGTACCCTAAGCCAAATTCCAATGTATGTTTTAGGCTAAGAGAGAACAAAATGTGGCGAAGGAGTGTGGTTAATTTACCTCCCATCAATCTCACTTTTTATTGGTATTTAAAATATGAATTTCTTCTTTAATCTAATTAGTATTTGTTTTAAGATTTTGGATGGGGTATTAGGATGATCTCAATTTTGGGCTTGGGCTAGAGTAGCTAAATTTAACCTTCTACTTCTTGGTATTTGAAAGCAACCCAAAGTAAGACTTTAACTCATCTTCCTTGCCTCCACAGTTAGAGAATGATGATCTTCACCAGGCCTGACACCAGAGACCATTTTGGTTCTTTCTGATGTTAGGCTACTGTATTTTCCTGACTTTGAGTTACTCTACAATGTTCAGGATAAGGGCTTCAGCTGTTTCCCTTATGTCTTCCTGAATTCTAGTTGAACCTAGATGGAATAGAAATGTCCTTTGTCAATCCTCACAAATTGCCTGTAGTTAATGGCCAGATTAGATATAGCTTTCTTATAAGCCCCCCCCCTCCTCTCCAAGAAAAACCAAGCCAAGCCCCAACAAGCTTTACTGTGTTTCATTGAGTCTAATGCTTTATCTGTATACATAGGCATGTTTATAGATGTGTATATATTTCTATGTATATATGTGTATACAGGTATATATATATATATATACATATATATATGTATACACACACACATACAAACACACATTCATAGAGAGAGAGGAGGAGAGCAGAGGAGAGAGACAGAGACAGAGGAAAAATCAGGAGTGTGATTTCATCAATACAAGGAACTCTCAAGAAGGAAATTTCCTCAGTTAATACAGTTTGGTCACCATCTCTGCAACTTTGAGTATTAAAAAGAGCTAACACTGGCACTGAGAGGTTACATGGGTCATACAAGGAGGAGGTTGCAAAGGCAGGATTTGAATTCCAATCTTCTTGTCTCTTAGGACAGTTCCCTCTCTACTAGGCTTCACTATCTCCCTAGAGCAGATTTTCTATGAAACTTACCTTTCTCCCTACATATGACCTAAAGTAGTGATGGCTTTTGTTCTTCTAAAATATGGAATCAGAAACTTGATAACTGAAGGTGATCACAATGAATATTTTGTCTGAGTCTCATGATAAAGAGAAGATAAGTGACTAGCCACAACAGTGAGTAGCAGAACCAGTATGAGAACCCAGCTATTTTGAATTCAAGGCAAATGAAATCTTTCTACTATATTCTGCTGCCTTCCTCTGTTGCCTGGCTCATTATCTCTCATTTTTGGGCACAACCATTGAAAGTTCTTGGGTTTTAAGATTTTGCACCTCTCTTTTCAACTGAGTACTTGTCATTCAGATGGCCTAATTTGGCAATCTGTATGCTTTTAGGCTGCAGTCATTTCCTGGTCCTCGATTGATGGTGGCTACATTGTTTGCTAAGTAAAGAACTGGGCATGTGTGTATATGTCCATCATGTTTTCTTGGGATTATAGTTTGTGATACATATTGTAATTATCAAGAAATGTAGCGGCAGGCATAACTTGGTCCTACTTAGTGTTATTTGGTAATTATACAATTTAGAGTTCGAAGGGACTTCAGAGAGCATCTGATCTAAACATCGTTAAAAAAACACATAAGTAAGGAAACTGAAGTCAAGAACAATTGAATGCTTTGTACAAGGCAACATAGACAGAAAATAGAAAAACCAGGATTTGAACCCTGAATTGTTCGACTCCAAATACAGAGCTCGATGCTTTTTTAAAAGTCCACAACTTCATCAGTGTACTTCTGTTGATCCAAGTCACAATGCTTTTACTCCTTAG